AAATACAGTGGGCCCTGATAACCAGTGGGGTTTGATTAACAGCCCTGCCATGGATACCAAAATCCGTGGATGCCCAAGACCCATAACATACAGTGGCACAGTAAATGGCATCCCTAATATAAAATGGCAAAATAAAAGGTTGCTTTCTAGAATTTTCTTTGGAGTTGGGGGGGGGGGGGTATTGGATGCAAACTATATGGATATGGAGGGTCAAAAGTTTACACTACTGGCATTTTAAACACCGTGCCAGTCATAGAGTATTGCCATAGGATGTGTGTGTGCATAAGTAATAAAAGCATGGTCACGGTGGACCATGCTCTTGTTACATCAATGATAGATTACTGCTACGCGCTCTCCATGGGGTTGCATTTGAAGACTGTTCAGAAGCTTCAAGGGATCCAATGAGCGGCAGCTGGACTCCTCACTGTGGGAGCGCACAGGGAGCATACAAGACCCCTGTTACGTCTGCTCCACTGGCTGCCAGTCTGCTACCGAGCACAATTCAAAGTGCTGACGGTAGCCTATAAAGCCCTTAATGGTTCCAGCCCAGCTTATCTGTCTGAATGAATCTCCCTCTATGATACACCTCAGAGATTAAGATCTTCTGGGGTGGCCCTGCTCTCAGTCCCATCTTCTTTGCATGTGCGGCTGGTGAGAATGAGAGGCAGGGCCTTATCAGTGGTAGCCCCTTGGCTATGGAACTTTCTCCCTAGTGAAATTAGAGCAGCCCCCTTTAGGAAGAAAGTAAAAATGTGGTTATGTGACCAGAGCAAGTTTTTAGTGCAACAAGAGTCTAAGGAACAGTGAAATGACAAATAGAACAGCTTCAGATTATGATTTTGGATGGTGCGATTTTAATAATTGGTTTTAAATTGTTAATGTTTTGGTTTTAATGTAAATGCTTATTTTATTGTGTGTGTGTGTGTATGTGTATATATATGTATATGTATGTGTGTATGTGTGTGTGTAGGCATCAAATTGCTGCCTAATTTGTAAGGCCGTTTTGAGTCTCTTTTGGGTTTGAGAAGGGCGGAATATAAATGAAATAATAATAATAATGGTGATGATGATTATAGGCCTGTAGAAGCAGTAATGACTAAAACATGGCTGATGAGTTTATGGTCATTCAGTTGTTCACTCTAGTTCCCATCAGCCTGATCTATCCAGCCTGGTAGTGAGCCTAATAGTTTGTCAGCATCTGGAACGTCCAAGGTTCCCTACTCCTGGCCCAAAGTGGCCCTAAATTACTCTTTGGGATGAGTTTATTTATTTATTTATAATTCAAACTTATATGCCGCCACTCCCCTGGGGCTCGGAGCGGCTTACAAGAACAGGCTAAAATCTGACACAATTTTAAAACAATTTAAAAACAACAATATCAGAGATCAAAGGCCTGTCGAAACAGATATGTCTTGCATGCCCTGCGGAAAGCTGATAGGTCCCGCAAGGCACGGACTTCAGGTGGCAGAGTATTCCAGAGTGATGGTGCCACTGCTGTAAAGGCTCTGCGTCTGGTTGCTGTTAGACGCAAGGTCTTGACACTGGGAATTTCCAATAGATCTTGGTCCTCAGAACGGAGGGATCTCTGGGGTTGGTAGGGGGTGAGGCGGTCCTTGCTTGAAAGGAAAGCCCTACAATTTGTAATTCTGTCATCTTACATTCAGTACTGTAATGCTTTAATAGGATTTGCTTCTGCGTAATTATGCCTACCTTAAAGTTGTAATCTTCAACTTGATTCTTATCGTCGAAGGCTTTCATGGCCAGAATCACTGGGTTGCTGTAGGGGTTTTTGTCTGTATGGCCATATTTTTGAGGCATTCTCTCCTGACGTTTCGCCTGCATCTGTGGCAGGCATCCTCAGACGTTGTGAGGACCTCACAACCTCTGAGGATGCAGGCGAAACATCAGGAGGGAATGCTTCTAGAACATGGCCACACAGCCCGAAAAACCTACAACAACTCAGTGATTCTTATCATTCACATTTCCAAAGAATTTCTGTAAGTTATGGCTACAGTTCTAACTACCATTGACCCTGAAAATTCCATTAACCTCAATAGACTGACTTCTAAGTAGATCTTATAGCACTGCACTGCATATCTCCTGAGTGGTATATTTAGTCCTGCTGTGCATACACATGTAAATGCAAGTGTGTGGATGCTAAAGTGTCAAATACATTTCGAACACGTGGCATCCTATGTTACAATAGCATTTTCCAAGTTTATCTTTCACAACAACTACCATTGTGTTTGGCTTTTAAGTGAGCAGAGTACAGGTTCCTATAAAACAAATAAATATAGCACACAACTGGCAAAACAGAACCTTCAACAATGAGTATGTGTGGGCAACTCACTATCAGAGATGTGTGCTGAGAGCCTATCCCTGTTTTAATCTATGAAAATGTTGGCAAACATGCAGTGATTGTTCCATACTACCGTCATTCTGCATTATCCAATTTCCACAGACTAGGATACAGACTAGACCCAGGGAATGACTTTGTTGCAGGGCTCTACTGATTTTGTGAAATCAATTTTTCCATCTTTCTCTCTTTTCAGGAAGATTTCCTGTGCAGTGCTGGCACAGTAGAGGGGGAAAAACATTTTCCTAGCAACAAAATACTGTTGTTCAGAGTGTTGGAAATGAGTTGGCTCCTTGCATTAGAACAGTGTTTCTCAACCTTCCTAATGCCGTACCCCTTAATATAGTTCTTCATGTTGTGGTGACCCCCAACCATAAAATTATTTTGGTTGCTACTTCATAATTGCAACTCTGCTATTCATATGAATCATAATGCAAATATGTGTTATGCAGGATGTACTTTCATTCACTGGACCAAATTTGGCACAAATACCCCATACGTCCACATTTGAATACTGATGGGGTTGGGGGGGGATTGATTTTGTCACTTGGGAGTTGTAGTTGCTGGGATTTATAGTTCACCTACAATCAAAGAGCATTATGAACTCCACCAATAATGGAAATGAACCAAACTTGGCACACAGAACTCCCATGACCAACAGAAAATACTGGAAGGGTTTGGTGGGCATTCATGAACTCCAGATTGCTAATCATCTGCATCTGCTGGCCCCATATACAGGTGTATAGTTACCAGGGGAGGAAGGCAAAATAGGAATTCTGCCCCTTATGATTTTCCTTCATTGTGTGCATATCTAGCATTGCAGAAAGTGACACTAAAATTCACTCACAACTAGGACTCTTGAATTTGCTGTCTGCATTCCTTTGACAATTTTACCTATATGGTCCTTGTATATGTTCGGGTTTAAAATCCAAGGATGCTCCTAGTTCCATTATATGTAATGGCATAGTAAAATTGTACCCCTTATATAAAATGCTCAAATAAAGTGGGCTGCATGGTCATGTTCCAGAAGTATTCTCTCCTGACATTTCACTCGCATCTACGACAGGCATCCTCAGAGATTGTGAGGCAAATGGGGTTTATATATCTGTGGAATGTCCATGGTAGGAGAAAGAACTCTTGTCTGTTTAAGGCAATTGTGAATATGTATTGTTGAAGGCTTTCATGGCTGGAATCACTGGGTTGTTGTAGTTTTTTTGGGGGGGGGGCTATATGGCCATGTTCTAGAGACATTCTCTCCTGACGTTTCACCTGCATCTATGGCAAGCATCCTCAGAGGTAGTGAGGATCACCTTACTACCTCTGAGGATGCTTGTCATAGATGCATGCTCTCTAACCCAGTGTTTCTCAACCTGGGGGTCCGGACCCCTGGGGGGTTGTGAGAGGGCGTCAGAGGGGTCGCCAAAGACCATCAGAAAACATAATATTTTCTGTTGGTCATGGGGGCTCGGTGTGGGAAGTTTGGCCCAATTCTTTCCTTGGTGGAGAGAATTGGGCCAAACTCTCCTTGGTGGGGTTCAGAATGCTCTTTGGTTGTAGGTGTGCTATAAATCCCAGCAACTACAACTCCCAAATATCAATATTTATTTCCCTCAAACTCCACCAGTGTTCACATTTGGGCATACTGAATATTAGTGCCAAGTTTGCTCCAGATCCATCATTGTTTGAGTTCACAACAACTCCCAAACTCAAGGTCAATGTCCAGTATTCTCTGTTGGGCATGGGAGTTCTTTGTGCCAAATTTGGTTCAATTCCATCGTTGGTGGAGTTCAGAATGCTCTTTGATTGTAGGTGAACTATAAATCCCAGCAAGTACAACTCCCAAAAGACAATATCAACCCCCCCTCCCAAAAAAAAAAMCCCCTACCAGAATTCAAATTTGGGTGTATTGGGTATTTGTGCAAAATTTGGTCCAGTGAATGAAAACACATTCTGCATATCTGATATTTACATTACGATTCCAAACAATAGCAAAATGACAGTTATGGAGTAGCAAGGAAAATAATTTTATGGTTGAGGGTCACCACAACATGAGGAACTGTATTAAGGGGTCGCGGCATTAAGATTGAGAACCACTGCGTCTAACCAAAGCCCAAGAGGGCAAAAGTTGGAGAAAGGAGAAGAGAAAGTTGGAGAAAGGGGAGGAGAGCTGGGGCAAAGAAATGCTGCAAGCGAGCCAACCACTCCAGGTTTTTGCGCAAAAGGCTGGTCGGAAAGATTTCCCCCGGCTGGCTCTCCTCCCCTTCCTCCAAATGGGTTTCCCCGCCCTTCACGGAGGGCGGGAAACCCCCTTCCTATGGGGCGCCTTCCTCCATCTTCTTCTCCAACTGAAATCCCCCAAAACACAAACCAACCCTGAAGTAGCTCCTCCTTCCCTGATACCTCCCGGCTCTTCCTCTCCTCTGCGCGCAGTCAAGGGGAACCTCCCCAGAGCCTCTATTCCTTGCCCCCCAACCCTTTCCCCGGCTTGGTCCTCCCTTCCCTACTTAGAACTGCCTCGCTAGTCCCTCCTCTCCGTGTAAAACGGAGTCACTCCGGCGCGTCTCCTCCTCCTCTTCCAACTTCTCTCCAAGCCGTGCGCCAGGCTCGCCACTAGAGTTGCGCTCCAGCAACTACAGAAAGAAAGAAAGGGGGAAAGAAAGGAGCTCTCGGGCATTTGGATTCCTAGTTGGTCCCGAGTTCCTTCCCTCCTCCCCCCCTTCTTCCCCTTGGCATTTGGGGGAGGCTTGGCCCGCCTTGGAACAGAGTCAAACTCCGAAAGGCATCCTGGATTTGGGCTCCTTTTGGAGCGCCACTTCTTTGAGTCGCCTGTGCGTCAAAATACGGAGGGAGAGAGAAAGCAAGCAAGCAAGAGAGAAGTGCTCCCTCCAGGCAAGTCCCCGCCGCCTCCTGCCCTGCAGTGGCTGCTCCGCATTCTTGGCATTCCTGGGCTGTGACTCCGAGGTCGGCGACGGCAAGGAGGCAGGCGGGAGGGCTCTTGCTTCTCCAAGCAGCAGCTCCACGCAGGACCGGGGCCGAGGAAGAGCCACGCGGGAGGGAGGGAAGGAGGGAGAGACGGAGGGTGGACCCACACGCTCTGGACGCCTGCCTTTCTCCATCTAGGCACCAATCCCCTCCTCTCTGCTTGGCTCTCTCCTCCCTCCAGGCTCCCGAACTTCTTCCCTCCTCCAGCACCCTCCCTTCCTGAAGCTCAAACTTCCTACAAACTTTTCTTTGGAGAGCCTTGTGTGTTGCTTCTTCGGGAGGGGGAAAAGAAAGAAAGAAGAGCCCCTCTTTTTTGCTGCTGACTCCTCAGCCCCCCAATATTATTCAGTCCTCTTCATTCCCCACCATCCTCCTTTTCTCCCCTTCCTCTTTCTCCCCTTTCCTTCCTAATTTTGGCAAATTCTGTCGGCTCCAACTTGCCCTGTCCCCTTGTTTGGATTCCTTGGCTAAAGCGGAAGCCTCCTTCATCCATCACCGGTGAATCTTGCGGATTTTAAAAAAAGAAATCAAGGCCTAGAGGAAGGAAAGGAGGAGATCTCGGAGAACTATACCTTGAGGAGGCGCAGCTGCCTCGAAGGGGTCCCAAACTCATGTGAAAGCAGGTAAGCCTGAGATGCAACAGTTGGGGTTGTTGAGTGAGTTGCCTTGAAGTTTTTGAGTTTGGAGGTGGTGTAAGCATTAGCAAGGCTCCTCTCTGGTCAGTAAACTTGGTACAACTTCGCTCTAAAGTGTGTGTGTGTTTTCAGGTTGTTATTGTTTTGCTTTTGAATTTTTTTTTAAAAAAATGCAAAACTTATAATATAGGAATAATGCACAAACCCAGAGCCCCCTGAACTCAGCACTTTTATCGTTCTGTTCTGTATGGCATTGTTTTTATGATATGTTTTATTGTGATGTGTTTTATTTGGTTTTGTTTTGATGCTATCTTATTGTGTTATGTTTTTAACTTTGTACTCCCTGGGCTTGTCCCTTTGTAAGCTGCCCCAAGTCCCTTGGGGAGATGGAGGTGGGATATAAAAATAAAGTTGTTGTTGTTGTTATTATTATTATTATTATTATTATTATTAGTTTAGGTACATTTTGGGAGTTTCTGGGTTTGAAGTTGATGTAAGCCAAGACTAGAGCATGAATCCACTTTAAATCTGGTTTCTGCCTTCTGCAGAATTCTGGGGTTTGTAGTTTAGTTAAAGGTTCCCCCCTAAACTATAATCCCCAGAATTCTGTAGGAGGCAGCAACCGGATTTAAATTGAATTAATTCTCTAGTGTGATGAGTTCTTCAGTAATCTTGGCAGAACTTCTCTGTGAGGTGTATGGTTCTGGGGTTATTTTGATTTGCATTTTAAAAAATACAGGAACAGGGCCAGCTATTTATTTATTTACAGTATTTATATACCACTTTTCTCACCCCTGGGGGGACACAAAGTGGTTTACATAGAAATAGTGACAAAATTCAATGCCTTACCCTAAATCACAATCAACACCATATAACTGGGCATAAAATCAATAAGACAATTCATCATAAGATATAAGGACATTTAAAACATGAAATATAATACTTAAAACACCTAATTAAAACATAATGCAAGTATGTAGACCATAGCTCATCACCTCCCAACAAAGGAATCCCCCAGACAGGAAGCAGGCAAGCCTTGAAGCTGCAAGGCTTTTCAATGCTAATCAAGGTGATTGATTGCAGCATGCACACCTACCTCCAACAGTTCTTTCTCTCACCCTGGGCATTCCACCGATATATAAACCTCACTCGTTCTAGTTCCAACAGACCTCACAACCTCTGAGGATGCCTGCCATAGATGCGGGTGAAACGTCAGGAGAGAATGCTTCTGGTACATGGCCATACAGCCCGGAAAACTCACAGCAACCCAGTGATTCCTTGCTATGATAGCCTTCGACAACACATAGTCCTTGTGCAGTTGGGCAGTTTTTGAGTCTCTTTGTGTAAACAAGGTTCTCTGGTCAGTAAACTTGGCACAACACCCCCTGAGGTGTGTGTGTGTTTTGGGATTTTTGTTTTTGCAATTTGAAAAGCACAGGAACAGTTTATGTCCAGTTTGGAAGTTTCTGACTCAGGCGTTGGTGTAAGTAAGGCTCTTTGGTCAATTATCTTGGCACAGCTCTGTTTTGAGGTTTGTGTTTTTGGACTAACTTGCTTTTGCATTTTTGAAAAAAATACAAAACGTATAATGCAGGAACAGTTAATGGGTGGTTTTGGAGACTTGTGCCCATCCTTCACTGCCTGAAAATTGTATTTTCAGATCTCAGTTAAATGGAAAGGTTGAGCATGCAAAAGGAGTTCTGAAAATAAGTGACCCTTTGAAAGCATTAGCCTCACATGACTTTCCCTTTTTCAACTTGTCCTGTTGCAATGGCATGGGGTGCCTTGAAAAACTTTACTAAACTTTGTGTGTCCAGCTTCTCAGTGTTGTGGTGTGATTTCTCTTTGGGTCCATGTTTCAGCCAGCTCAAATGAACAAAATCTGGCTACTAGTATTTTTAAAAACTCTAAAATCAGGGCAGTAAATAAAGAGCAACACTCAAAAAGCAGGGAAATTCCAGACAAGAATCTATGAGGGCCAGCTAACACCTCCCAACAAAGGATTCCCCCAGGCAGCAGCCAGCCAGACTTTGAAGCTATAAATGGTAATCAAGGTGGACAATTAAAACATTCACACTTCCCTCAAGCAGACAAGAGTTCTTTCTCCCACCCTGGACATTCCACTGATATATATACTTCACTTGCCTAGTTTCCAACAGACCTCACACCTCTGAGGATGCCTGCCATAGATGTGGGCGAAACGTCAGGAGAGAATGCTTCTGGAACATGGCCATGGAACTCACAGCAACCCAACTCCCACTCTTTTGGCTGGGTGGATTTTATCTTCCTGCTCTTTGTTAGCTACTAGTCAAGTCTATACCGGCCATTCCTCTCTGGCAGATGTTGTGACAAGAAGGAAGGAATGTGGTGGCAGTTTCTCCTGCTCTCTGCCTGACAAAATCTATTAATCTTTTTTTTTAAGTTTGCAAAAGAAACTGTCTTTTAAGGAATGAGTCATTTGTTTGCCTACAGTGCACACAAAATAGATGTGTATTTAAAGAGGGTAAAGGGGATGAGGTTTGCTGGTTTTGAACTTCTGTGGGCAAAGGGCCCTGATGATTATAAGTCTCTTTCTTTGTATACTCTCCAGCTATGTATCTCTAATGAGGGGTGTTTCAAGGAATGAAAGGATGGTATCAAATATGAACTCTTATGCTGAAAATCCCATCCCTTCCTCCTTTACGATGACTTGTGAAATGCACACAAGAAAGGTTTGTGCAATGTGTGAGTGTATTTTTTTTTAAAGTAAACCCTAGGTGTGTTATGATAGACCTTTTTTGGGCATTACTGTTTTGAAAACTTCTCTAAGGTAATGTTCTTGGACTCAGAAGGGATCAAAGACACTAAAAAAGAGCGCTGCTTTTTTAGAAGAAAGGTCTGTCTATTCAGCATCCTGTTTCCAAATGGAGTCAGTCCCATGCTTCTGGGATGTCCCCCAAAATAGAGTAAGAACACAACAGTCCTCTGCTCCTTGCTGTTGGCAGCTCCATATAGATTCCATGTGTTTGTTTGCTCGACTGTTTGCCCCAATTTACCTAGTGAATATAAGACGTATTTCCGTTGGATTCCGGTTGTGCATGAAGGAGAGAAGTATGGGAAGAATGTGTTGATTTTACTTTCTTCCTTACTGTGAGAACTCAAACACAATAGTTTTCTTTTTATGTGATCACTCTTTAGCAAATTTACTCATACAAGGGCAAATACTCACAAACATTGGATTGTTTTGTGCTTGAAGCTTGCCAGATGACTGGATGATGAATGTCTCAACTGTTTCTGGTGAAAATAATGTGTCTCAAGCAATCTAAAACTTTTGTTGAATCTTGTGATGTGTCCAGTGCTGTGCATGCTGTTGATGTTGCAAGTAGCTGTCGTGTGATGGGCCAATTAGATGTGGGGTAACATAGTATTGAAAGTAGTATCTAGTCTAAAGCAGGTTAGCAGTCTTTGGGATCATTTACAACTTGGTAAATGGGATTTACCATTCTAGTCTAAAGCAGGTTAGCAGTCTTTGGGATCATTTACAACTTGGTAAATGGGATTTACCATTCTCTAGCAAAGGATCACCGCCTTGTCGGGGTGCTGGAGCTTGAGCACCTCAATGATGTCATGAGCGAAACCGTGAAGGGACACCCAAGACGGGACGGTTGTGGCAGAGAGGTCAGACCAAGCGTGATCCCTGGGGAAGGCAATGGCAAACCACTCCAGTATCCTTGCCAAGAAAACTAAATGGACCAGTACAACCAGAGATATGTCGGTATGCCATTGGAAGATGGGACTCCCAGGTCGGAAGATGGCCAAAATGCTACTGGGGAGGAGCAGAGGATAAGTTCAACTAGCCCCAGATGTGATGACGCAGCTAGCTCAAAGCCGAAAGGAAGGCTAGCGGCCGACGGTACTGGAGGTGAACGACGAATCCGATGCTCTAAAGATCAACACACCATAGGAACCTGGAATGTAAGATCTATGAGCCAGTGCAAATTGGATGTTGTTATTGGTGAGATGTCAAGACTAAAGATAGACATTCTGGGGGGGTCAGCGAACTGAAGTGGACTGGAATGGGCCACTTCACATCAGATGACCACCAGATCTACTACTGCGGACAAGAGGAACATCGAAGAAATGGAGTAGCCTTCATAATTAATAAGAAATTCGCTAAAGCGGTGCTTCGATACAACCCAAAAAATGACAGAATGATCTCAATTCGAGTGCAAGGAAAGCCTTTCAACATTACAGTGATCCAAATATATGCCCCAACCACAGCTGCTGAAGAAGCAGAAGTAGATCAGTTCTATGAGGATCTGCAGGACCTACTGGATAATACACCAAAAAGAGACATTATTTTCATTACAGGAGACTGGAATGCCAAGGTGGGAAGTCAAATGACAACTGGGATCACAGGCAAGCATGGTCTGGGAGAACAAAATGAAGCGGGACGCAGGCTGATAGAATTTTGCCAGGAAAACTCGCTGTGTATAACAAACACTCTCTTCCAACAACCTAAAAGACGGCTGTACACATGGACTTCACCAGATGGTCAGCACCGAAATCAGATTGACTACATCCTTTGCAGCCAAAGGTGGTGGACATCCATCCAGTCGGTGAAAACAAGACCTGGGGCTGACTGTAGCTCAGATCACGAACTTCTTATTGCCCAATTTAGAATAAAACTAAAGAGATCAGGAAAATACACAGACCAGTTAGATATGATCTCACTAACATTCCTAGCGAATATACAGTGGAAGTGAAGAACAGATTTGAAGGACTAGATTTAGTAAACAGAGTCCCAGAAGAACTATGGACAGAAGTCCGAGACATTGTTCAGGCAGGCGGCAACAAAGTACGTCCCAAAGAAAAAGAAAACCAAGAAGGCAAAATGGTTGTCTGCTGAGACACTGGAAGTAGCCCAAGAAAGGAGGAAAGCAAAAGGAAACAGGGATAAGGGGAGATATGCCCAGTTAAATGCGCAATTCCAGAGGTTAGCCAGAAGA